GGATGGGTTTTACTACAAATGACAATGCGAATCTGTTTTATTACAAGGGATGCTTTTAGTGAATATACACATCTCTCGCAGGTACCGTGACTCACTCCTTGTATGAAAAATGGGAAAGTGCAAATATAATTCACCCTTTGGAGTTTGGGGACAGAAAGAACCAGAACTGTCAGAATGAATGGTGCTCCCTGATGGGACGAGAGCAGAGCGGGAAACCAGGGCACGCTGCAGTAATGATTCAACCAGGACAGTATCGATCCAAACGGACACAAACGGCCCCTGGCAACGCCAAGACTGCCACATCACACTCCAGCATGAATTACTGGGGCCACATGCATTATCTCCAGTCTATTTTATATGTTTTTGCGTGAGATTTTGAAAGCATTGAGTGACTTTGTGGTCCATTAATGGGGCTGAGTGTAATTGATTTTACTCTATTCGAAAATGCTCTGGACTGGAGATGCATTAAGAGGATATTGAATCAAATCGAGTCCCAGAGTTAGAAGTTATTTATCTTAAAAATCACAAATTTCATGTTTCAATGTCCTCCATAGTGAAGATGTGTCTTTAGTTCACAATCACAATGAGACATGTACAGTACATCCAACAAATATAACAGTTAAAAGAGATCCGTGCTGGGGCCGTTAGTAATTAGCCTATGTTGCTATCACAATGAGGTTGCGGTGAGTGACTCCTCAAACGCTCTAAAATGATGTATTATGTGCCATGGAAACATATATTGTTTTTGTTCAAGTATGGATATCAGGGGAAAAAAAACCCTTAATGTTTCTTTTTTCTTCTGCTCTTTGAACCTCATTTTCACCCCCTGAAAGTGGATGAAAAGTTGCAACATTTTGCAACATGTTTTTATCTTGAGACTAAAAAAATTGACACAGTAGCTGCACATTATGTTTGGCCATTTTTGCATTTATTTTGTTCAAGTTCAAGTTCAAGTTCAAGTTGTCTTTATTGTTCCACTAGGGGAAATTGGTTTTGCAGCATAAATCATCTAAAAAAACAGGCAGGTACAGTAAAATCACAACATTGAGAAAACAAGAACAAAAGCGAATGTCACAAAACAAATTTTCAGCGCAAAGGTTTGTAAAAGTGCTATGTGCTGTTAAGGTGCTTCACAGCTGTTGGGATAAATGTAGTTCCCAACCGTTTTTTCCTACACCCAAGAGCCCTATAGCGTCGTCCTGAGGGTAAAAGTTCAAACTGCTCCCTCAGGGGGTGGTCCAAAGAACCAATGATACAATTGGCCTTCCTCAGCACCTGCTTACTGTACAGGTCTTTGGGCTGAGCCTGTGTTCTCCCTGACACCTTACTAGCCACTTTAACCAGACTGCCAAGTCTGTTTTTGTTTGCTTGGGATAGGTTTCCAAACCATGCAGTGATAAAAAATGTAAACACAGATTCAATAAAAGAACAATAAAACAAGGTCATCATTTCTGACGACACCTTAAAAGTGTTCATGTGCCTAAGAAAGTACATTCTCTGCTGCACTTTCTTACAGACTGCATCGACCAAGGGTTCAAAGCCCAGCCTGTGGTCCACAATAACCCCCAGATACCTGTACTGCTCCACAAGCTCAACATCCATGCCCCTAATAACAGTGGTTGTGGGGGCTGGAGGTGCCCTACGGAAGTCCAAAATCATGTCCTTAGTTTTTGAGATATTCAAGTGTAGGAATGAGGCATCGCACCACTCCACAAAGTCATTAAGGACAGGTCCATGGCCCTGCTCCTCCCCAGAGAGCAAGCTCACAATGACTGAATCGTCTGCAAACTTCAAGATGTGTCTGTCCTGGTGCAGACTTCGACACTGATCTGTGTACAAAATGTACAGGAGTCCAAGAGGTACAATATTTGGTACATATTTGTCATTGTTTAACGTCTACGCCCCCCTGACTGTTCATACATAAAACGCATGTAGCATCGAAAGTTAGATACAGAATTTTGATTGGTTAGACGTGTGCACGCAGCGGAGCAGTCGATTCTGACTTTTTTACCCAAATCATACAATTACTAATTTTCTCTTGTTTACTCATACAAAGTTCAATTAGCACCAAACGTGAATTGGTTGTTCAACTCTTGGATCTATGTCAGTTGAAAGTGAAAAACATGAAATTGCTGCATTAGCGCCCCCTACAGAGTGATCCAAAAAATTTCATGGGCTCAAATTCGCTCCACAAACTGAAGACAAGTGTAGCCTCAAAACTTAGCAGCAGAATTTTTAGTGGTTAAATAAATGTGCGCGGTAGTCTCGCATTTTTGGTTTACTTCTATAGAGACAAAAAAAAAATCCCATGTTATTCAATGGAGACACTCACTCACTGATCATATGCCTTTCCATGTTTACATCAGTGTTTCTCCCATCAGGGCTGTGTGAAGATGGTGCGTCAGTGCCCTCTCCGTTGCACTGTGTGGCGGGGCCGTTCGATGCCGCTTGTGGCTTTAATTAAATTTGTATTTGATAAAAAAAGGTAAGTCTCTCAAAACTTACATTTGTTGTCAGTACAAATGAATTTGGACATTCACAGATAAATGATTGAGAGTGGTTTGCAAGACTTGAATCCAATAAAATTGAATAAATAAATAAACAAACAAGTAATATGAGACAATGAGCTTTTATGGACAATTATGTATGTCTATATTATAAACAGTGCAGCAATGGACCGGTCCAAATAGCATTAAAAGCATTATTGCATTTATAAGTGGATATGTTTTTTTTATAAGCGCTCTCGACATGAATCTAAACAGCAGACATGAGTTAGTTCATTCTTGTCACTGTTACATTTATCCGTGTTACATAAATAAAGGATCACAATGAAACAATTGGAGATTATTATAGACTACGTAATGTTTTTTTTCTTTCACTTTTCACTCTCAAATAATGGAGAATTATGAGCAGCTGTACCTCTCTCTAAAGTCGCAGATCTATCTCCGACCTGTGGGTAATTGTCTAATCTTCCCCAGCAGATGCAAGGTTCAGAAATAACAGTCACAGAGACAGCCGGGCTCCAGGACTGCGGCCGACACTGACACCACATTGTTTCCAACACTTTCAACATGTGTCAGGCAATTCACTCACACTCATCTCTCTGTATCAGCTCATAACATGAGCAATGCCCTCAAGATCTTCAATAATAGGAGCAAATAAATATTATGAGAGGTATTATTCTCAAACATCCAAAAAAGCTTGTGTTTTTAATTGTGATTTAAAGATGCAGTCAGTCCCCTTTCCAGACGCTTTTTTTTTTAATATATTGTGGGAAAACGTCCCTAAACCCTAAAAGTAGTCAAGTCATCATGTGTTTTCAAATAGTAATGGCATTAACCAGATTCCTGTAGTCTACAAAAAATATAATAAAATAATTTGGAGCGGGCCGATAAAAATAAACCAATGGGATTCGTTCATCCCCAACGAACCAATCGGATGCGTTTACGGTCAGCATTAGATCATATACGGAATCGGGACGGAAGCAGAAGTAAATATAACAAACTACTTATTCATGCCTAAACTTAACCAGCCATTCCCATTAAATAACCCCAACCCAGCCTTAACCCTAACCTTAACCATCTTAATCAGACACCTAAAACTTAACCAGTCACCACTTAAGGACTTTTTAGTCTAAAATTAATTCGAAAGTAGGATTGTTACTTCTGGTTTCGTCCCGATTCCGTATATGATCTAGTGCCGACCATGCGTTTACCCCTTTCAGCCACTTCCTGTTTTTCGTGAGTGTGCGAACCTGGTATCGGATTTTCTAAAACCTGCAGGACTGAACAGAAAATGCCAATTTCACATTTGCCGCCCACTCTCCCTGTTGTGACAAAGAAAAGAAAATGCTGGATGTTTGGTTTGGTGGAGAGGGAGGGGAGGGGGGAGTGGTGATGAGTTGGTGCTACGGTTAAGCTAACAACATTGCTTACTACACCTTTAAATCATATTTTTATCCAAAAGTGCTGACAAAAGGGGTGTCACTAGTTTTAATAAAATGTTGTAATTTATGTGGTTTTATCTTTTATGCATTCTAAAACTGGTGAATATATCTTGAATCGCAACTAAACAGTTAATTGAAAGGCAAACACATGCTAACTGGTAATGAGTAAACAGTGTGTTGCTATGGTGACTGCCAACTAGTAGTAACTGTTCTCTGTTGGAAAACCAAGCTGACTCAGCTCAGAACCAGGACCAGTCAAGGACCAGACCAGTACCAGTCCAGGGCCACCCCCTCGGCAATCAACAAAAAATGGCTATGATGGAATTTTACCTTAAAATGAATTGAACTAGACTGTGCCACTATTCTCTGGGAGGAAATGGCAGCACTCACATTTAAAATATAAAAGATAATTTTAAAAAGCAAACGATGAACTAGACATAAACTAGATAGAGATACAGAAAACAAAGTCACAAAGTTAGGAAGATCAGAAATGTTCATAATTTCAAAACTTATTCTGGAAGTTTTTTTTGTCGACGGCCGTTTGATTTGTTAAAAAAGTTAATTTGACATCAGTCTGAAACCCATCGATATCGTATCACCACTACGGCAACGGACCTATTTTCTACCACTTGAAACCACTATACAAACGTACTCCTTTTTTATATATATGTTAAAAATCATCAAGACATAACGAAAATAATCCTATAAATGATTATTTCTTATATTATATTAAAATATCAGTTAGTAACGCGGTATGGATGTACTCCGCAGAAATGTTGGTATCCCTACGCGCGGAGGGACACATCCTCCTGGAGCCGTTGTAGCAGGACTGGAGCTGGAGGAGGACACTCTTCTCCATCCTCCAAACGGACCGTGCCTCTCTCTGCTCCACAACCGGGTAACCGCCGCTCCCCACACGCTGCCAATCAACTACCTTACACCGGAGATTTTTTTTTAAAAATCATATATATCTATTTCAGCTTTAAAGACAGAGCTGGTCGAATTATCCCTCCCGTAAATCAACCTGTGAGAGGAGCCGAGTGACAGCGCCAAAATGGGGGTAAGATTCATACAAGACTGCACACCTGCATTTCGAATTCAAGTCATTGTTGTCGTAGATGTAGATGTGTACAGCTTTGACACCCATTCACACATATGCCACTGCCTGTTTCGCGTTTTAAATCTTAATTATAAACTGTTTAAAGACACGGGAAACGTTAGAATGACATTGGGCTTTGGGCAGAACGCAGCCTCACGGATCAAAGCTAGCACCACGTGACCGCCTAGCTAACCTTTGGGCCAATTTTTCCAGAATGTTCTGAATCATTTGCACCTACAAGAAACTAAAATGCACATCTGTAGCTTAGGTAGCACATCTGTAGCACATCTGTAGCACATCGGCTTAGACTGCTGCCCCCGCGACCTGGCGACGGATGAAGCGGAAGAAGATTGATGGATTGACATCTGTAGCACGTTGCAATGAGTGATGAGCGTGATTTGTGAAGCCTGGTTGAGGGAAGAAGCAGCTGCTGGACCGTGGATGCTGATCATTCTGCAGAAGGGAGAGGATGTGAGTCAGTTCGCCGCATGAGGAGCAGAAAAAATGACACAATTATGGCATTTTCACACCACAAAAACCCCGAATACTGTGGATAAATTACCACGGACATGTCATTGATACATGTGCCAAGTAATGTAAATGTAAATGCTGGGTTTGAGTGTCTATATTCAGCGAAGATGAAGAGAAAGTCTCGCTTAGGGTGCGATGCTACGGTTACTGCATATTAATGTCCAATGTGATTTATGATGACCATAATCGTAAAATGTCCCAGAATTTTGGATTAAACCCCGAATGATTGACCCTTAAACATGGAACAATATGTACTGTTCATTCGTATTTGTGTAACTTAAATGCAGCAAACCGGCTTCCTTCTTTCATTATTAGTAAAGAACATTATACAGTAAAAGGTATACCCAATGTTAAAGTAGCTAGTAGTTGTTTGCAATGTTGAAGACATAACATTATTACTAGATGCTATCATGCATGGTGAGTAATTGTGGCTGTTGCTATAGTGATTGGCAGAAAACTATATACTGTATTTTGAAAAGGGAAAATAGACACCTATATGCTGATTAAATTTACATATTTTGCGACAGTAGTCCACATTTCTTGTCATTTTTAAGCTGTTTTCAAGATAATGAGTTAATAGGAATGTTGCTATGGTGTTTGCTATGACTGTTTAAAACTAAAATATAACTGTTACTTGGGGGAAACTATTTTGCAAAACAGAAGCTGAAACTCATGAATAAGTTAAAATGTTATAAGAATATATTTCATTTTGTTTTAGTTGATCTGTTGCTATGGAAATAGTCATAATTTCTCCGAACTCACCCATTCTAGTCAAAAGCGATATTTTGAAGGACTTTTCTGTAGTCAAAAGATATAACGTGTGGCTTTGAATTGCAGAGGTGAGTCGGTGTCTGGCAGCAGTGCACAAACTGTACTATTGCGTCTCAGTGAATGTGAACTCTGTGGAGTGAAATGCCATTAGTACCATGTGGGAAAGGCGTCTGTAGGTCAGTGGCTGGCGTGCCTTCAGGCGTGGAGTGGATGTAAAGAGGAGCCCAGACTGCAGCACAAAACTGGAGCATGTAATCATCACAAAACTGGCTGGAGCAGACATCACCTGTAGGAACGGCTGAGGCAGGAGTCTATGAAACAAGGGAAAATAAATCACAAAATAGAAATTGCAAAAGGATCAGTAGGAATTAGTAGGGGCGGGTCCAGGCTCCAGATAGTCCATGAGCATGTGCGCTGACATGCTTGCAATGCCACTCCGGGCCGGTGGGGGTGGACCCGGAATAAGAATTACCCAATGCCTTTGTATGGCGTCTTCTTTCCTCTCAAACACCTCTTTACAGGTTCGTCCAAAAATTGCTCTCTTGGCCCAATGTACCACATGTGTGTCAAAGCTGAAGGGAGTTTATTTTTTGGACCAGTCTAGTTTAGCCTTTGAATGAACTTTTTTATTACGTAATAGGGCACATTTTAGGGCGGTCATTTTATTTATTATATTTTTTCCAATAAATGCTGTGGTATTGAATGCATGAAAACTATAAACCATATTGTGGAGCATTCCAGACAAGGCATGTGTGTCTATTTCTGTGTATGTCTGTTTCTGTGTGTGTGTAATGTCATGTATTGTATCACTCTACGGTAGATGTTTTTTAAATCTACTGGATATTTTATAGCAGTGTATTGTGTGGCATGTGTGAATCAAAACAATATTTGCTTCATACAACCCTAGCTTTTTGGGAAACTTTGAGTTGCTTTGTGTATGAATTGTGCTAAACTTGCCTTGCCTTGCCTTTGGAAGCCTGAACTTGTTATATGTTTGTTATTGATAAATGTGACGATATGTGTTTTGCTGGTTTATAAAATCTAAATGTAGTTGAGGCAGATCAAATGCTTGTTGGCAGTTGCATGGTACAAAAATCCCTGGCACTTCACAGTTTCTTCTTGTAAGCAGCAGGTCAGAAAGCATATTCTGTTCTGTTTTGCTCCTATCAGTGACCAGCTTTGTAAATGTCTTTCATTTTACATGAAAACACTGGTTTGTTGGCTGAGACTGTGCAGGCGGAGAGTAAAAGCTAACATGCTAACAGCTAGTCCCCCATTTCTGTTGACAGGGATTATGATGGAGTCTCCTGGTGTGTGCCCTGGTTTGATATACTGTGGGCAGAGGGGGATGGGAGGGGGTCAAGTGTGTTTTGTCCACTCTAACGGAGCAGGGGAAACCACTGTCGGCTCAGGACAGTCAGGGGGAGAGTGTAAATCCTGTGTCAAGCCTCCAGGGGGATGGGAGTGTGATCAGACACTGCCAGGGAGAATTGATCCGAGCCAATCGATCAGTGGGATGGCAGGACATGGGACAAACTGTTGTTTTGAGTGTGATCGAAAATCCTTAGAGTAATTACTGAGTTATGACTTCTGTTTCTAATTATAAGAATACATTTTGTCCAATAGTTACATGAAAGTTGAAACTGCACACTCTGGGGCAACAGCAAAAGAACAGAGATATATTTTGGTAAAAAATATAGCGCTGCAAGTGCTGAGTTTGTACGTTTCTGAAGTGTTCTCGCCAGTTGTTAGCCTTTTTAATCTCTGATGCCCCAACAACTAATCACATAAACATAACTGGAGAGTGGAGAGAGATACTAAATAGAGAGAGGAAGAGAGATAAGAGATCATTCTTCAGAATGAAATCATCCCGTAATGTACTGGGTGTGAAAATGGAATCTTGGCTTTCATGACCAATTATTAATTAGATTTTTATTTCTTCCCATAATGGGTTCTGTGTTGTTGGAGCAACTTGTTTGTAGAAAAAAATATTTGGATTTCATTTAGAATAAGCTAATAAAGCTCTATTTCAGAATATGTTTTACCAACTTGGAACACATATATACGATGTGTGGCTGTGTGGAAAGAGGAAAAGTTGTGGTTTGAGCAGGTTGTAGTCAGTTTAGCATCAAACAAGTTCTCTTAATTTTTACCGGTTTAGCGTATTAGCTGCTAACAGGCAGCTAGATGTAGCTAGGTGGTCATGATTCCAGCATGAAAGTTCACTGCCTAGAGAAAGAGCCTGTGCATCTTCTTTTGTTGAACAACTTGCATAATTGTGTTGCTGTTCGTCAATATCTTCCTCATGTAACTATTGAGCGTTTTCCATCTTGCTGTGTGTGACTGATGCTTGAGCGTCACCCTTCATAAGGTCAACAGGCTGCGCTTCCTGTGGCACTGACTTCCACCACAGACTGTAGGGATGATGCAAATAGATACACGCTCAATAGGGCTCTCTGTGATCTTGGTGTTTTTATTTTGATACTGTCCAAAAACTGACCATTCAGGTGAGTAGCGAGAGTGACTACTGACTCTCTGTGCTCCTGTGTCACTTGACTTCACCTTTGGAGCTGGACGTATGTAAGCCGGGTCGGGCACTGCTTGTATGTTACTGGCTTCCAAATCCGCGTAAACAAATTAGACCTACACACACAAGCATGCACGCACACACACACACACACACACACACACACACACACACACACAGTGCTCTGAGACAACAGAGTCCTGTTACGTGTCATTTAACAGGACCAGGTAACCAACCGAGTATGTGGCTGTTCACACACTATGGGGAACTTGTGATTCTAGTTGCAATCATTTTATTACTTCCAGAAAAAATAATCACATATCGATGAAAAAGCATCTGTATTATAAAACAAAATATTGATTCAAAACATTTGTCCTAAAATACCAGTTATTATTATGTTTTATTAATTTATTTGAATTAGGACCGTACATATTAATCAATGTGTCCCCAAATAGCGTCAACATAAATATTCTGGAATTAACACAATAGATAAAATATTAAATTGCACCCATAGCACAAAAATGCAACTGAGTAGTTGTACTCTTACAAGTTAAATTACGATCTGCATTAAATTTCTAACAGGCTCGTTAAGATGGATGGTTTCTAATCTTTTAAATGGCCTCATGGGATTGGCTGTTGCTAAGACACCACTAAAACCCGTCTCTCAGGGCAACGAGATGCTGCCAATCACTGTCACGACTAAAGTTCCCCGCCAGACTGGTGCTGTTTAGTGAACAATTACTGTTGTTAAATGTGTGTCAAGTAAATGTAATTCTTATTGACACATTTATTTAAAATGACTGTCCATTGACTTGTTGAGTGCACAGCTAAGGGAGAGAGGAGCAGATGGACGGTCAGCTGTAAGGACAACGTAAACAAACTCAGATAGAGAAAGAACTTAAGATGGAGGACTGTTTGTAAGCAGTAAACAGTAAAGGAGACGTTCTGTCTAATCTGTCACCATTTGGACTCAGAACACACAAGTTTGTTTTTTGTTGAAGAATGCATGTGTGTGTTGTTCTATGTTCAAGAGCTTCCCACTACTTTCTGTAAGATTGCTCCTTCAACCAGACTTTGCCATCACCACTGTGATTTGATGAGATTAAAGTCCCAAGTGGGTCTTGACCCTAGT